GCACTCTAAGAGATCGGAGAGGTAAAGAGGAACCTGTAAAAAAGAGAAGAAAATAGAGTGCAATGTTCTAGAGGTAAAGAACGTGTCTCAAGGAGGAAGAAATGATCCACTGTGTCAAATAAGATGAAGAACTGACCATTGGATTTAGCCACAGTGACCTTGGAGGAGAGGAATTTCAATGGAGCAGTGGGGTTGGCAGTCTGACTAGATCAGATTCAGGGGTGAATGGAGGAACTAGAGTGTAACTAGCCCTTTATAGTAATTTTACCGTAAAGGGGAACAGAAAAGCAGGCCATAACTTAGAGTAGAAATGAGATCTAAACAGAACATTTAGGATGGGAGAAAAAACATGGTGGTCAAAGGAACATAGGTTCTACTCCACTCAGGGAAAGGAAGCATAACTCTCTCTTCCTTAAGTGTGGGCTGCACATAGTGACTTCCTTCCAGAGGGTCTAATATGGAAGAGGGGAGTAGTAATTTAAAGTGCAGAAACCTGATGGACGTGACCTCAGCCATGGTTATCATCAAGTGGGAAGTCTAGATACTGCGTACCTCTGATATGATGTAATGAAAGCAGTACTTCACTTCTGTGGTCTGCCTCCCCAAAGTCCATAGCCTCACTCTAATCATCAAAAAATATCAGACAAATTTCAGCCATGGACATTTTATAGTAGATCAATACTGACCGGTACTCCTCAAAACTGTCCAAGTTACCCCAAACTAGAAAAGTCTGAGAAACCAGCACAGCAAGAAGAGCTGGAGGGGACATGGAGTGGTATTTGAATTAAATCGTTTGGAGCCCTTCAGTGATACACTGAGAAGGAAACCCTTTTTACAAATATTGGGTTCTATTCAATGTTCTTCCTCCCCAAAAGGAGAGAAAATTATGACAACTAAATGTAATGGGGAGTCCTGCATGGGGTGCTGGAAGACAGAGGGGATGTCTGGTAAAAATGAAGGAAATCTGAATAAAGTATGGCTTTTAATAATAATGTATCAATAGTGTAACAAATGTTATGAATAATAATCAGTTACAAATAATAAGGGAAACTGGGTGAAAAGTATATGGGAAGGATATAGAGTCCATTCTCCAGCCTATCTTCTAAATTTTTCTGTAAATTTAAAACTGTTTTACACCATAGTATATACTTTTTTTTTTTTAAAGAGCATAGGCTGTGGAGTCTGACCATCTAGTTAGAATCCTAATCTGTGATTTACCAGGCTATGGCTTGAGGTGAATTCCTTAAATTTTCTGACAGTCAGTTACCCTGTCTATAAAATGGAAACAGGAAGAGTACCAACTTCATAGAATTTCTGTGATAAATAAGTGTGATAATCCATATAAAGTGCTTAGCACACAATGTATGGCAAATAGTAAAGAGTAGATGGCAGCTATTATTATTATTACTATTTAAAATCTGTATTGAATAGTTAAATACATGTTTAATATGATTTTACACTTAATTTGTTTTAAAGTGTTAATAATTTCTATGATAATTTTCTCTCCTTTTGGGGAGGAAGAAAATTGGATAGAACCCAGTATTTGTAAAAAGGGTTTCCTTCTCAGTGTATCACTGAAGGGCTCCAAACAATTTAATTCAAATACCACTCAGCTGCAAATGAAGTGAAATGAGTTGTCAACAGAGGTTCTGTATATATGTCATCATATCTATAAAGTAGTATAAGATAAATAACATTTTACAATTAGAGTTCTACTTTCATTATATAGCCATAAAATCATCAACATCAACCAGAGAATATATATTTTTCTTTTTTTTATTGTTGTTCAAGTATAGTTGTCTCCATTGTTCCCCACCACTCCACCCCTCCCCACCCATCCCCATCTCCCACCCTTGATCCTACCCCCTTGGCTTTGTCCATGGGTCCATGTATAAAGATACAAGCTCCTTGACGACCCCCATCTTTCTCCCATTATCCCATCCTCATTCCCCTCTGGTTACTGTCAGTTTGTTCTTTGTTTCAATGTCTAACCAAAGAATATATTACCTTGTGATTATACTCTTTTAAATAATAATACTTGATATAAGTGATTTGAAGATGAATATGTAGAATTTTTTTAAAGATAAAAAGAATTGAGGGGAGTAATAAAAGAGTGTGGTAAAATAATTATTACATTAGGATGCTATTAAAGAAGAGAATTTTGCCTAAGCAATGACTCCCAAACCAAGCTGAGCATTAGACTCACCTATAGGTCTCGGCAAGATAAACAGAAAGATGCCAGACCCTCTATGCAGACTTATTATTGTATCAACAGCTCTAGGGCTGGAGCTCAGGCATTTGTATTATTGTGTATACCCTAATCATATCATATAAGCTGCCATACAATTTACCAATGTCAGAGCTGCCTTGGTAAATACAGCTTGATATTCACCACCATCAAGAGTCATTATCAGCTCAAGATAGTCTTACCTGTTACTATTCTACTTGTTTTCTCTGTAGAATTTTGGGACACTGTATTTTCAGGCTCTCAGCTGCCTTGGGCATAAAATGAACTGTCTCCTTAATTCAGTTCCCCAACAATATCTTTTTCCCCTTCTAAGGTCAAGTTTTTTTTTTCCCTGCTCCTCTTCCCCTCTTTCTCTTTTAATGGCCAATAGAGAAACTCATCGTATTTAACACAGGCAGTTGCACTCAACTACCACTAACTGAGCCAGTCTTCCCTTCTTACTAAGCCAACAATTCATAAAGCAGCTGGTCTGCTCCAGGTCTCTTTTCAGAGCTATGTGGTGTATGCTGTCAGTAGGCATAACTGCCTTGCACAATGAACTGTAGCTGGAGAACCAAGGTAGACATTTTAGACCTTCCCCTATGACAGAACAAATATTCAAAGGAACAATTGTCAGACTATATGTAAAAATGGATGCTTGACTCATGACATGTGTCATCCAGCCTGGGAAGTCAATTAACCATGTCCAGAAACAAGTCTGAGAAGTCAAATTGGTATCTGTAGCCACTAGTCCAGGAAGCCAAACAATAACCCCTGTAGCAACTGGGCCCAAATGATTAGGACTTGATCAATCACTGACAGCTTCCCTAATTTTTGCCCCTGCTTTCAACTTAGGACCAAATAGAGAAAGCCAAACATGCACCCCATAAATAGTCATATAGGATACCCCACTGCTAGATAGCTCATCTATAGCTTCCTCATGCCAGCAGCCTCCAGTCGGGGCACACCTGAAGTCTTCTCTTTTTTCCACTATAAAGTTTTCCTACTCTGCCTGCCTTGGTGTCTCTGTCAAATGAAGTGATGGTGGCCGGTTTCCATGCTTTGAATAAACAGCCTTTGCTGTTCTCATTTTGGTGGTCTGCATTTATTTCCACCTCTAGAAAAATGGGGCTGCATGTTTGAAATGGCTCACTGACTTGTTCTTTCATGGCAGAATGCCTGTACCTTAGGGAGGCTGTACGATGTAACAGAAAGAGCATAGTAGTACTGTGACTTCGAGGATGCCACTGTTGGGAAGTGGGAAGTATAGAGTGGCTGTGGGTAAGGGCACAGGCCCTACCATGGTTCAAGTCCTGGCTCTACCATTTCCTAGCTGTATCAATTTGGCAAGTTACTTAACTAATTTGTACCACAGTTTCCTCACCTATTGAAACATTGGTGATTGATATTGGCACCTGCCTCATAGGGCAATTGGAAGGATTATATGAGACAACCTACGTAAAATATGAATTTCTGGGTTTCAATGGAGAGAGAGAGAGATCCAGAAACACTGGGCTGAACTTCTTGAAAAGCAGTAGTGGCCCAAGGCTGATTATTAACTGCCCCCTTTTAAATGAGACACATGCTCTTCCATTTCCAAAGTCTCCACCAATGAGTTTCACTCATTTACAATACCTACCTGGCCTCATTTTACCTGTGAATTAGGGTGAAAACATTTTTCTCTCACAAAGTACATAACCCTAGGAAAGCAATGGGTGCAAAAGCTGACAATGCCATCATCCATTTTCAAAAGATCTGGTGGGGAAGGGATCTCATCCCTCAAATGCATGTTGGAAATGTCTGTGCTTTTTAGAAGCCAAATACTCAAGTAACATTTTCTGAGGAACTAAGAATCACAATTTAAAAGTACAGGGTTTTTAATATATAAACAATTTTTATATAATCAGAAGCCCAATACCACATTCCAGAAAGTGTGACCATATTCATCAACAAGAACACAATTTTTTTCTCTCATAGGCCTTCTGCTATTCTTGGTAAGAAAAACAGTTATTTCAGAGACTCAAGGTTAATTAATTGTGTTTATTTTCCACTAAAATTAAATATGACATCATGGAGTATCAAAACTAACCAAAAATGCCTGTGCCTAAAAAAAAAAAAAAAACAAACAAAGATCTTTGTCTGAATCATTTCTGGCGATCACACTCAACACTTCCAACAGGCAGTTGCCCAACTTTCCAATGACTGCATAAAATGGAGTTTTGAAGCCAACTTTCTAGATTAAACAAAAAAAAAAAAGCCATTCTCTAGCATAAACCTTCATTCCATCAAACTGGGTAAATAAGATAATTAAGAAAATAGAGAGCCACATGAATTACATATAGCATTTTACTTTAGCATTTCACAGGTGGTCACTTAAGAGTGCACTGAAAACCTCAATCTAGGTTAATTTAGCAATGATGTCAAGAAGGCATCACATAGACATTCTAGTTTACAATATTCTGAACCAAGTTAAGGCAAGAATGGTTGCTAACATTAGATGGTTTCGCGCTGGTAGCTGTTTTTCCCAAGTCTCCACTCATTTCATCTTACAGCGGCACCCAAAGTTTCTTTTAAAGAGAAGGGGGAGCTTCTCGGAGCGTCTGGGGAGTTTGTGCCCCATCCAAGAAGAAGAAAAGGTAGCATCCCCGTGAGAACCACACGTAGGCTGCAGTAGCCGGGGGCGCACTTTGCAGGGGGCGGGTTGGACGGAGCGTGCGCACGGAGGCCCGGACGCCTCTCCCCAGCCGCGTCTGGCCCCGCGGGCCGCACTCACCCAGGCCGCGCCAGCCGAGCGCGCCGTCGCAGCTGTCCAGGACCGCGCAGAGCTCGCCCAGCAGCGTGGGCGGCAGGTCGAACAGGAGCGTGTGCACTGAGAGCGCGCCGCGGGCTCCACGGCTCCCAGCCGCCATCGCCCAGGCCATGGCAGGGCTGCCGGACTCTAGGGGCCAGGAGGAGAAGGGATGCGGAGTTCAGGCCTCTCTACAAGCCCGCGATATGCCGTTACACAACCGCGGAAATCTTGCTTCCACGACGTCGCCCAAGACAGCAGAACACGCTGAGCCCTGTCCCTGGAAGGGGCGGGCCCCACGTGACGCAAAGTGCCGCTCCCTACAGATGCCCCCAGGGACACCCGGCTGGGCGTTGGGGTCTCCCTACCTCTGCTGATTCCTTATTGTAGGGTCAAGTTTTGAAGGTTTTTTTTTTTCGGTTTTTTTTTTTCATTCCTTTGCAATTGGGACGTGGCCGAAGAGACAAAGCAAACAGTGAAAGCTGGAGGAAGACCAGAACTGCAGAACTAATGGAGAGTCGACTGCCCTGGCATGACTCTCCCCTGGCGTGGATGGATCTAAGACCTGTCAATACTTATTTTAAAAGCGTATTTCTTTTTATCCTGTCACAAAACCGATACATTGCGGAACACTTGGAAGTCCCAGAAAAAAATGGAAAGAAGAAAATATTCACTCGTAGCCCTACTCAGCTGAAGGCAACCAACAACCACTCTAAACGTTTTGGCACATTTTCCTCCCAGCTTTCACTGAATTTTAACAGGTCAGTGTGTTCATATGAACTGATTATTGGAAAAGATGTACATAAATGCCAAGAACAGAAAAACAAGAGGGAACAAAGTAGAATAAAATTGTAGTAATTTTCTTCACGAGGCTGCCCCTTTCTCCGTACTGCATTTGGTTTTTCTCTGTTCTCTTCTCTCGGGGTTTTCCTGATGAAACATTGACTATTTTGGCTTTCCTCAAAGGGCTTCACAGTATCTCCCTTTTGTTTTCAACATGGAGTTTAAGTAAAATTGACTATTGTTTTGAAATCTGCTTATGCTGTAACATCCCCCAGCAGGCATGATACAAATGCTACTGACAAAAAGAGAAGATGCTTCGAAAGTGATGAGAAAATCCCAGCCATAATGACCGTAAGAGTGGACAAGGGCCATTAACTGAAAAAATCAACACCTACTTGAAACCTTTCAGACTTGCAGTGTTTGGGAAGGGCGCCCCCTAGAAATCAACGGTGATGATACATTATCATTTAGTATTTCCTGAATTTTTCAAGTTATTATTCTCAGCTCAAGTATTACACAACATATTTTTTGAAAATTAGTAAAGGCGATACTGTTTGGGCAAGAGTTTCTATATCCTTTTGTTTAAATTGCTAAGATTTTGTTGCCAATCTGTACATGCTTAAGAAACTCTATGCATCTCTCAAAGGGACTACATGAATAAGGTGAGCAATGGAGGCAGGATCCCACTATGTATGTGGTAGCTCTTGAATTGCTAGAACAGGAGCCACACTCAGATACACAAAGGAGCCAGGAGATCACTGTGAGTAAGAGAAGCAATCAGTAAGGCCTACTTTGCCAGATTTTTCTGAGTTACAAAAAAGAAAGAATTTTAGGTGAAAGCAAGATTAGTCTTACGTGAAATCTATATAGGTTATGTGAAATCTCTTGTATTTTCACTGTGGATAGTTAGTATCAGACCATGCTCCCCTCCCCCCATTCCCTAGAATTGCCTCTGAATTTTGAATTGTATTATCAGATTATATCACTCGCTATTCTATACTCTTGCTGTCATTTTCTGTGCCCCCACCTCAATTCTGTCTCCTCATTTTTAGACTATATAGCTCCTTGTTATTGTAATTCACTTTAGTATTAATTCTACCTTAATTCTTGATTATTTAAAATATATGTAGAATAGATTATGACCTTTTCAATATCCTGCACTGAGTTCCTTGACTCCCCTCCTCCTGTGATCTTGTCCTACACCCTATTTCAGCCACCCGTATGAACACCCATCCCCTAGAACTTGTCAATATCAATAACTGACCCCATCCATGCTTTCTATTGTATGAATCCACCTTCTGACCACACCACCTGGCCTTGCAGTGCATTCCCTTTAGTACTCTGAACTCAACAACCCTTCCTTTTCACCAGAATATCAATCGAAACTCTGGTCCCATCCTCTTGAGGTCCTCATTTTTCTCCTTATCCCTAACTCTGCACTCAATCATTATAATCCCTCCTTTGCATATGCTCTCCATTTTCTTGCTTCTCTGTCACTTTGTTGAACTCTCTTGGCAAATCTACCATCCTGATTAAATCTACTCTTCCAAGTTTTGGCTTTGCACCCATGCACCTAAGTGTAGCTGGGGGAAGGTGGGGAAGGAGGAGGAACCTTGTTAATTTGATTTAGTTTAAAATCAAAGCCATGACTCTTAAGTGGGTCAATATGATGCCAGGCAGTTACAGTATGTGCCTTTAGTCCATTTACTCTTCTGGTCTCCTCAAAAACTGTTTTATGCTTTCTCTTTTCTTCTCAATTCCCATCATCTCCCTAATCTTCATGCTCTGCTGCTGATGGTCTTGAGAATATTTCTTGAGAATACTGATGCATCACGAAAAACCTTCCACAGAATCTCACTACCACATCTACCTACCTGGCAGCATTTTTACCAACCTACAATCTCCTGGCTTTTCCAGAGTTGAATTAACTAGGCTCCTATTGAAGTCTAATCCCTTCACTTGCACACTAGGTTCTATCTCTTCTGTCCTGCTCCAACACATCAAGGACAGCAGTTCTCACTCTCTGCCATATGGTCAATTGCTCTTCACTGATCAATCCCATCAGCATACAAATATGATGTTATTTCTTTTCACTTAAAGAAAAAGAAAAGCTTCTTCGAAACCACTTTCTTCTTTTATCAATAACCCCATTTCTCTGCTCCCTTTTGTAGTAAAGTATTGAATATTCTTGCTATCTCCAATTTTTCTCCTTTTATCTTCTCTTAAACCCACTCTAATTAGACGACATCAAGTGCTTTCAGGGTGGTTTTGGCTATAGACTAAACGCACTTGAATTAGAACTCCCACCCACCTTACTCCACTGAAATTGCTCTCTTCAGGGTCATCGATGTCCACATCATTGCTAAATATAATAGTTTTTAGTCCTCATCTTACTTGACCTATCAGTAATTTTTGACACAATTGATGATCACCTCCTTCTTGGACACTTTCTTCATTTGTCTTTCACATTCTCAAATATTTTCACTTACTTCATTAGTCACTCTTCATCTTTCTTTGTGGTCCCTCCCCTTCTCCCTTAACTCTTAAGGTTGTAGTGCTGCAGTCCATGGTTCTCCTCTCTATTTGTACCCACTCCCTTGGTGATCTCAACCAGTGTTGAGGCTTTAAATGATGTTTATCTACTGAGGACTGCCGTGTATGCTTAACCCAGACCTCTGTGTTGAACTTCAGACTCATGAACAAACTTGAACTCGTAATCATGCTTCCCAAATCTAATTTTACTCATATTTTCCCCTCTACATTACTCCATCCTTCCAGTTGCTCAAACCAAAAACTATAGTCACCCTTCATAGCCCACATTCAATCCCACCAGCAAGTCCTACTGATTCTATTCAGACTCTATCTAAAATCTGACACTTTTCCCCACCTCCAGTGCTGCCACCTCAGGTGTGAGTCATCATTACATCTTGTCTGATTACTATAGTTGTCCCCTAACTAAAAGCAGCTTTCACTATTGCTTCCTACAAGCTTTTCTCAACACTGCATTCAGAGAGATCCCTTTAAATCAAATTTGATTATGTTTTTTCTCTGTTCAAAAGCTAACACTGGCTTCTAATTTCAGTCACAATAAAAGTCAAACTCTTTATACTGTCTGAATTCTCTCTTCCCCCCTCCCTCTGCTCTGCTACCCTCTGATATTGTTTCTTTGTTCATTTTGCTTTAGCCACACTGTCTCCTTGCTGGTCCTTGAATACAACAGGTCAAGTCCTACATTAGAGCCTTTGTGCATGCTATTAGGTTGCCTGGTATACTCTTTCCACATGACAGAGGTCTACCCTGACCTCCAACTTTAAAATTACAGTAGTCTCTGCACTGAGTTTCAGGCCGGTGTGTGACTGAAACTGGAAATAATATATGGCTTTGGGGGGATGGAGTCTCATTCAGACCTCTTAGTCTTTCTCTGGGTCTGCAAAGGAGCATGTGGCAGTTACGGCCACCTCTGGAACTGTTTTGCAACCATATAAAGATCATCAATGTTAGCATGAAATGAGCTCTGGGGATGGTCTAGTGGGAGAAAAAAACAGATTTGTGATAACATCATTAAGTGGCTCATTCGTTCTATGTCTGGAGACTGTCCTGCTTGTGGGCTTATATGACATAAATTACCTTATTAAGCCAGTTTTTAAGCCAGGAATCCTGTTACATTCAGCCAGCTATATCCTAACTGATACACTAAACAGACATTTGGTAATAAATACTCTGATTTGTTGAGGGCCTGTAAAACCTCTGGAAAGGAAATGAAACTGTTGAAAACTAGAGTTCAAACTAGAGTTGAAAACTAGATGTATACAACTACATATGTGGGATGTGAGATGGGCATGGAAACTGGATTACAGTGAGAGGCAACTGCACCCCTAAGGGAATAATGTCAGTGGAGAATGATTCTCACAGTGTGGTCAGAAGCAGTGTGAAGTTCTAGGTTCACCTGGGACTGCACTAGAATCCATACAGACCCAGACCCTGCACTGTGCCACCCTCCCACATGCATGCTTTCTGGCAAAGAGAGGGCTGTGCTTAAATCTCAAAACTATTTTACTATGTAACCTAACCTTTTGCCGTGGAATCCTCTCCAACTATACCCGCCCCCCCCCCCCACCAAATGTTGGCTACTAGAAGAAGAGTTCCCAGCCAGAGAGAAGAGTGTAATGAACAGCAAATATTAACAAATGGGGATGCTGAGGAAACCCTAAAGGGCTCGGTGACAATGGCACAGATATACAGTATTACTAGTGGCCAAGCCCCAGCCAAGCACAGGCATCAAAACCTCAGAAATCTGAAAACAGGTGAGTCAGATAATAGGTCTTAGTATATATGAGACAACTATCTTGGTGCCAGCTATTTACCCAGCATCCCTAAGGATGAAGGACACCCAGATGTATGAGATGTAGAATTTCTGGTTTTGGACATAATTCTCAAAACAGAGATCACCAT